GCCGCCGCCGCCGCCGCCGCCGCCGCCGCCGCCGCCGCCGCCGCCGCGGGAAGAAATCCTCCTAGCTCAGTCGAATGTCGCTAAGGTCCTCCTCAGCAGCTGCCACGGTCGACAGTTATGTCGCCGCCAAAGTTTACTTGCTGGAGCGTCCTGATTCCATCCTCCCAGCAAGGCGCTGGCCGCGCTGCGTTTGGGCTCCCTCCCTCCCGGACGATCTTGCACTCGGGAGGTCTGTCTTGCTCGCTTTCTGTCAGGCTGTGTGTGAATGTGTGAGAGAGGAAGAGTGAGTGTGTGGTGCGGGGAGTGTGAGTGTGGAGTGTGAGCGTGCAGGGGTGGGAGGTTTCGAATCTCCGATGAATGCGCTTAGCCGGAATGCCGCCGAGCGCAACGCGCCAAGGGCCTGCACCAGGCTAGGGACGCGAGTGCCACTGCCCTCTGGGCAAGTCCGGCATGGTGTGCTGGAGCTGTGCTGCCGTCCGCGCCCGCTGGTGCGTCTCCCCCTGAGCCCTCCACCACCGCTATTGCTGCTACTGCTCCTCCCGATGCCGCAAACTACTGGCGGTGGAGTCTGGAGAGAGCCGGAGAGAGCCCGAGCAGCCGAGCCGGGCTACGCCAGGCGCTGGCCAATCAGCGCGCCGCGAGCGGGCTCCGGGCTTGGGGCGGGGCCAAGGCGCGGGGGCGGGGCGGGGCGGGGCCAGCAGGAAACTTACACACCGGCGAGACCGAGTGGTACCCCGGTCAGTGGAGCTGGGCCCGGAGCGTGAGGAGGCCTGGCGGGCAGGGCAGGCGGGGGCAAGAGGACTCGGTGGAGTGGAGAGGGAGGGTGCTGGCGATGAGGCTGAGCATCCACGGGAACTGCGCGCCTCTCATGTTTGTAGATTGCAGAAAAGATGAGGATGTGATTCTCTCGATGTGTTCATCACATATTCATATTCATATTCTTTCTCTTCACCCCCCTCCCCCTCCCTCTTTGTCTCTTCACCCTGGGTTTTGTCTATCAGCTTCTCTACCTTCCTCTCCTCTCCTTCTCGGGTACTGGAAGGAAAAAGGAAAGGAGAAAGCGCCCCCGAGGTGGTCATTCGTCCGGCTCTTGGCCAGTGAGTCTTCACCTCAGCTGAGAACCGCGGCAGCCATCCTCCCGGACAGTCACCTCCATCCCTCCTTCTCTGGCGAACGCTGCACTTATTCTTTCAGAGCAGGGCCTTTGGCCCGGTTCGGTTCGCTCTTATCTGTTCCTTCTTGGTCAGATGGGGTCCGTGTCGCAGGGATTGAACCGCGGAGAGGGCCGGACAAATTGCGTAGCCCCTCACCCCACCCTGTTGGAGAATTTAGCTCCCTATAAATAAACTGTTCGCTGGAGAAGAGCGGGTGGAGCGGACGCCGCGGTGCCGCGCCATGCCGGGTGAGCCCCCAGCCCTGCGGGAGCTTCGAGGCAGGCGCGCTGTCCCCGTAGGTGGCCGGCAGCTGGAGCTGGCGCCCTTGTGTGGGGCACCCTAGCCTTCCCGCGAGGTCTCAGTCTCAGGGGACTGCCAGCTCCTCTCAGGCGGTGGTGGCGACAGCTGCGGCCTGTGCCAGTGCTGGGAAGCGGGAGGCCGGCGTGGCTGGGGCTGACATCAAATTCAGCTTGCCTCCGGACTAAGGCGCCCTGAGGACAGAGCGGGAGTCCTCCCTGCTCTGTTCTGTGGCTCTTAATTAAGGTCACCAGCAGGAAGAATAAAAAACACCCCGCTGAACAAGTTGGGTATTTGGGTGTTTTGTTTTGTTTTTTCATCGTAGATTGGGGGTGGCGGGGACCGGCTCCTGAATTCACAATACTTGGAAGAGTAAACCTACCTTCTGAGTGAGTCGTCTCAGATATTTGGGAGTCTTGGGTGAGCAAACTCATAATTAGCCACAGCGACGTTGGTCCAAGCTTGTGGGCCTAAAATGAGACTCACTTTTGCTTTTTAAAAACATTAAACAAGGAAAGAGGAAATGGCATTTGGAAACACAATAGGTTTTCTCAAAAAATGCCACCTTCTTGCAGAAAGCAACCGAGCTTCTTTAAAAATATATATATATTTCTCCTTCCAAGAGGAGCTAGTTTAGCAGCCTTTACTTTGGTGGGGGTGAAGGAGAAGACAGCTTCCTCCTTAAAAAAGGAATTATTTCAGGAGTGACGTTACAACCCCATGAATGTGCATCTGAAACCAAGGGGAGGGCGCTGGCAACCTGATCCGCTTTCGGCGTGGGGATCCTTTCACTCTTTCGAATTATGATGCAATTTAGACCAAAACAGCAAAGGAGAAAATTGGGGCATCTTCAATAAGTATCATTTAATTTTGGTCATTTAGATGTGGACAGCACAGTTATGGCTCAAGGGAACCCAGTGGCCCTCCCTGTTTTCTGCAGACCCGGTTGTAAAAATGGGCAAGTAGTGGAGGAGAATGACAACATGGCAGGCAGCGTGGGTGCATCTCAGAGCTCTGCAAAGAGATGGGCTTCATTTGATTTATCACAGTTATTTACCTTTGATGTCAGCAAGTAGAGTGGGAATGAAGTGCATCTTAGTCTAATTAAAAAGGCCTAGAAAGGCATTTGAAATGGGTTTGCTATCTGATCACGGGATGTGAGTTCGTCGTTTGGCAGCTTTCTAAAATATTGCTTGGACTATTTAAACAGAACAATTAGCAGCATGCTAAAATGTTTGCATGCTATGCTTAGAAGCTTTTAGCTGTAAACTCTAAGGCGATCTGTTCCCCTTTAAGTTAAAAAAAGGATGATGCTGCTTCCTTGTGGTGAAGGCTGTCAGGAACCCGCTGATCAATAAAAGTAAACTGGCGCCTCCACGGCTTGATTGAGCGGGAGCAAAGAGTCTGAGAAGTAGCCTCGGCCATTAACAATCCCCTAGGTAACGAGAAATGGAAGAATTACTCAGGTGAAATGATTAACATTGCTGTGGCATCTGTAAAGATGCACACAATAAGATAAGAAGGCTGCGGACCTCTTACCTTGGGGAGTGCTAATAGAATGTCTATATTCTGCTGTCTTTTAAAGATAAATAGGAGAATTCAATTCACGTACAATGTCATTACCTTTGTAATTGCAATCACATTGTAAAGACATGTTCTGCATTTGCAAAGACAAACGGGCTCTTCTCTAAGGATATGACATCGGTTTCCCTGCTTCCAGCCCACTGTTCACACCCGAGGTGCTCCTCCTTTCCAAGCAGAGCACCCCAAGTACTTCTAGCTATACTAAACCACTTTTATGGAAGCCAGGCTCTGAGTGAGGGAGGCAGAAGAGTGTGCCTTTGCTTTCCTTCTTTCACATCACCCCCAAGCTCAAAGTGATAGTTATACCTCCCCTCCAAAAATTAGCTCTTCCATCCTCCCAGTCTATTGCTACAGATAATCCTAACACCCTTTGCTCCCAGAATGTGGGTTTGTTT